AAACAACCAAACTTTCTAAACATGTGCACACTGAATTTATTCTTTCTATTCATACCTCAAAGAAAAATAATACTTGCATGAATGTTTTTTATTGCTGCACAAAGTTTGAGGGTATTGAACTTTATGAAACTTTCTGGAAAACTTCACATGGCTCTAGTGTCAAAAGTAGGCAAACCGAATGAATGAAATTTTGTAGACCTGCTCTATAGATGCGCACTGTTTAGGATAAAGCAAAAAAATTTCCATTTTTAATACTGAAGAATAAGCGCACATTTTATGCATAATGAGCCAACTATGTAAACCGGACTGAAGTTAGTTTTTTTTTTCTTTTGTTATTTTATTTACAAAAACTACCATTTTATTTTAAGTATTTCTAATATAAAAGTTTCGCTTCTTTATTCTCTCTTACATCTTTTTTATTTTTTGTATGAAACTCATTTTTTTATCTAATTTTTACAATACACGTAGGCAGAGACGGTAGAATCCATGTTTTCAGGCTCTCGGATTTTGAGATTGAACCAAAAGAAAATGGGGTTAGAGGAAAAGCGGATATTCGAGATCACAGGCTCGAGAAAACAAAAGGTATTTTATAAAATAATAGATAAAAAATGCTAACTTACGTATTTTTTCTAACTTTTTCACGAGCTGTGGAGTTTCTCGTAGATCGTATTTCTCATTTGCCATTTATAATTTCTGGTTATAAGATGATTAAAACAGATATATTTAAAATGTGGACCAAGTTTATTATGTTTTGAATAAAAAAAAATATGTTGTGTTGGTTCAGTAATTACATTTTCAATGAAATTATAAGTACAGTTTATTAGCAGATCATAGGTTTTTACGCTTTACTGAATACTACTACAAGGATATTGCATATCGTGCCTATTATATTCTCACCGGATGGCAATAAAGTAGTCAATAAACTCCTCAGTAACATTTACTTCCATATCAATAATTATAAATTTTTCCATAACTTTTCAGCGTTCTTTAATTTCAAACTACATTCCAGAGAGCAACTTATATCTAAACTTTCTGCTTGCATTTAAATTACCGTAGGCTTTTGGAAACAAATTGGTTGAGTAAAGTTTGAGTCCACTTGACAATTATAAATGAAAAGAAATAGTGTACAGTTTATGTTTGAATTAAATAAACGCCCTCTGAACGTCCAGATAAGTCCTCCGGTGGGACAGCGGTCAGTTTACGGATTTACAACGCTAAATTATGGGGTTCGATTTCCCAAGTTGAACACAGCAGATAGCCAAATGTGGCTTTGCTCTTAAATGACACAAACAAACAAACGTCCGGACGAATCATTAAAAGAGAGAAAGGGCTATTGAAAGGTTTTGTTGGCCACCAAATGAAGAAGTATTGTGAACCCACATCTATAAGTCATTAGGAAGTAATCTACAATCACTGAATTAGTTGACAATTATACAAACCGAATTATTTTATGATGACCTATCCGGGTGGAGTGAGTCAAGTTTTCTTTCACATTTTATTAATTTATAACAAATTCCGCTAATTCTTAATGGCATTTCACACTTGATAAAACTTTAACCAATAAACACTAAATACTATGTTTAAACTTTGTGTAAACTGCTTAGCAAAATGTATACCAAAATCGAAGGTCTGAGGTTCGCGCTGCAATGCCCTTAAAACGCATCACTTTGTATTCAATTTCTTTATTCGGTTCAAAGCTGTACAAATCCTTTGTGGCGGCAAGTACTTTTAACGAGCTACCTTCTCTCTGACCAATATATCGAAAATAGAGACAGCTAAGTCTCTGTTTATCCATGTGTCACATATAAGGTGCTTTCTTTGATAGCTTGTAACTCCTTCCATTTGGCATTTTTTCAGCAATCAGAAAATGAATACAATTTTTAAAAATAATGTTAGTTAGTTATGTTTATCAACAGGATTTCTTCTGTTGAAAGAGTTATTTTTGTGTTGTTGTTTTTGTTTTTTTTTGCCATTTCATAGGATGTCACTTGTATGCCATTAGTCGTCCTGGTGATAGCCATCTGCGTATGGTTGTAGCCGTTGGGCGAAGATTGCTTGTGTTACAGTGGCGCCACTCCGCTGCTTGGACAGCATGGTGTGCATCTTCAGATACTGACACTGTGGATGGGTTCCAGGTTATTCGGGTAAGTCAATATATTTTCTCGACTGTTCAGAAAAAAATATATATATATAAGATTTAAATTTTAACATATTTATCTTCACTTTCTCTAGAAGTATAGCTTAATATACTATTTCTAATAGACTCACCTTAATTATAGTAACAAAAACCTGATCTTGCGGTGCTGAAGGCTAGATTGCATTCACATAAATCATGTAATCTTCAAAAGAATGGGTGATTTTATATGAAGAAAAATACATTTTATCGAAAAAAATACCCACAAACCACGTTCTTCGAAATGTTTGAAATAAGAATTTCAAATTGAAACTGTAAGTAGAAATTTGACACAGTAAATACCTATTCTTAGGTGGAATCAACAGAGAGAGATACCGAAAAAAATTGCTCCAAAAATCGTTTAAAAAAGATAAACCTTGGAAGAAATAGTATCAAATTGAAATTAACTTTGTTTTTTCGTGTGCAGAGATATATTTATTCCGTGTTTTCATCTGTCTTTTCTTATTAAATGTTAGGTTGAAATACAAAAGAATTAAAAGCCATTCTTGCAATTGAGAAACATTTACAAAATCGAATTTTTATCAATGTTTCAGAGCCTTCATAAATATCAGAATTATGTTCCTGTGTGTTTTCTTCCACAAAAACACTACTCAGCTCACACTGCCCTGTAGTGTTAGCGTCCTTTTGATGGTCAAGGGTCCAAAAATGGTAGAATAGATTAACTTTGTATACTGTAATCAGATACCAAAATTATTTGCTTTTATTTTTTATTGTTTTTCTTCATTGTGTTCCATGCGAGTTTAATCTTAAAAATATACCCTAATATCGTTTTTAAGTTAAAGCACAGCGTGGTACTCGTTCCGATATTAACGAAAGTTTTAATAAAATTAGATTTTAAGAATATTACCTTTTGTCGAAAATAATTGTAAATAACATTTCAGTTCTATAATAAGTTCATGCAACCTTTCTAAAATAAGAGCAACTTTCTTCAAGGCTTACTCTAGTTGAATTATGAATTGGTAGAAAAGATGGGTGTCAATAAGAACCTAAAATGGCCCTTATCAGATATGGATGAAAATTGGCTGTGATAGATATGATAGATCTCTAATGACATGCTATATTCGTATTGCATCATAACTTCTAAGTTAGTGGCTAGCAACGCGAATATTTTCTATTAATAACTTACGAAATAGTTCCAGAAAAAGTGTATATTTAATAATCAATGTGATAATATACATCAAAGAAAATAATTAAACACACACAAGCGATACACTACACAGGAGTCATGAACAAAGAGTAATGACAACTAGAAGATTAATTAATTAATGATATAAAACATTATCACCGAAAATACAAGAAAAAGTAAATAAATTATGCAATGTACTAGTATTTTGTGTCTGAGGCCTTTGCCTTACACAAAATATATACCTTATTTTGATGCTGCCATACCATATAATTATCAATGTACAATTGTAGAATATTGTTCCAACTGTCTGTATTACTTCCCATAATTACGCCAACGTTTCTGTTTGCTTTTTGACGTTCTCAGTTTATAAAAGCCCATACAGTCTCAAGAATGCTCATATCGGCACTTTGTGCAGGTTGAACCATGATTGTGAGTGCTCCATCAATACATCATTTCACCACATTTGATGTACTATTTCTATCGTTTTCTTGCTGGAAAATGAACCTCCGAGCGATCAGTCGTGTTACTGAGAGAATAGTACGATGAATCAGAATTAGCCTGTACTTGTCAACAGTCAGGATGCCATCAGTTTTGTATAGATTGCCGATATCACTGGCTGAAATGCTGCCCCAAACTTGTGCTAATTTCACCATGCTTTACTGAAGATGTTATAAATTAGCTATAGTACTGTTTTCCTTTCTGCCGTTGAACAGATTGTAGTTAATTGTTTCGAGTAATTGGGTTCATCTGGAAAGAACACACGTTTCTGGTTTTGCTCATTCACCATTTGTGGTCTAATACCCATATCCATCTTTTGGTTTGGGTACTACGTCTCCTCAACAGCAAGATTTGAGCAGCTACACGTCCATTTGGACGACTTTATGCCGATGTGTATTTTACTATTCTCGACGTAAAGGTCACATCTGTATCTACAGGAAGGTCATTTTAAGATCTGTACTGAACTTTCATTTATCTCTAAAAGAACATACCTCGAGATAGTTAGAATCACTTTTGAGGAATTTTAGTTTTATATCTTGCATACTTCTATAATTAACATGTTAACATGCATTTATTCAGTCTTGCATACATCTACTATTGAAACATGAAGTGTTGTTGTAATGTTTCGTATGGAGTACCTTTGACGAACCAAAACGTTGATTTCTACACATTTGTCATGCAGTATTTCAGTCCTGGGAGCCATTACTGGATTCACACTACTGCTACTGGGCATAGTATGACTGCCTGTACTTTATAGACTTGGTAATGGTATGGCGCTTCCTTATCGGTTGAATTACAATCAAGCACAGTATAAACTATCAACAAATTACTGTACTCTGATGCAGTTCATTTTTTTTATACGATAAACAGTTGACATTCCCGTAGTATTCGCTTTGTATACACTTTTCCCTCACCGTTTCCATAAGTATTTTCAATACCTTATATCATCTGACATAGCAATAAATTTAAGCATTTACGTCACTATATTTCATTATGAGGACATAAGGTGCAGGTAAAACAATAGTGTGTATATTACTTGTGCATTGTATGATATCGATTTGAAATAAGTCGTAGCTTCGTGTAAATAGTCTGGCACTCAGATGAATCTGTAATATCAGTGGAAGTCTAGGTACTATAAGTCATTAGCATTGGAATACCACTGTCCTTGGCAACAATGGTAATAACATTCACGTACTGGGTGATCAACTGACACCATGTCACAAAAGTTCTATACGACGTAGACCTTTGATGTCGTATGCTTATACCGGAACTAAGAAGTATTATTTCGCCTCTATGAGTTGATACATGCCAACAGTTAAATCACAAAGATGGTTCTAGGAAAATATAGGAAGTCAGGAAATGCCCTAAGAGTAGCTTCTGGTGCTCATTTCTCTCCTGTAGCTAATTTGATTGGAATGTGTTGATCAGTGTTAACTAGAATGCATTACGCAATGCGGAAACAATCTTTACATATTCTCAAAACTTTAAAATCCCACTATTCGTTGGTAGTCCAAGAGTTGGCAGTGGGTGGTGATGACTAGCTACCTTCTCTCTAGGCTATCACTGCTAAATTAGGGACGGGTAACGCAACTAGCCATCGTGTAGTTTGCGCAAAATTCAAAATAAGCCGAACAAACAAACCAAACAACATATTGTGTATATACAGGGTGGGCCAAAAGTAGGGTTACAGTTAACACTTAAACACTTTTCCTTTATTAGAAATTTA